TTTTTTTTCTGAATTTCATAATTTTGTTAAATAAGCTAGTTAACCAAGCTATTCTCTTATCCCTAAACTTTTTTAGATCTCACTAAGATACCATCAAGCCCCACACTCTTTAGCTATTTTCATATTCTTTAAAATATTTACTCAGCCTTTAGCGATTTTCATTAGCTCTATTTTTATAAATAAATATATAATTATTAAATCTATCATAATTATTTATCATTAAATCTAAGTCTTGTATGAAATATTTATGAAATAATTTATAAGAAATATTTTATCTTTTCTTAATCTCATTATCATTAATAAGTATTCTTTGATTAAAACTACCTAAGTTCTTACACTTTCTTTTTCGCTTTAACAATTTGATATATATCTTTTTCACTTTTTTTAGTATTCAATTTATTATAAAAATATAATAAGCTTTATACCTTATCATATTACCTATTTTTATCTTTTTAATTCTTTATATATTTTAATTTTTTTCTCATTTTTATAATTTTGTTGATCTTTAAAATATTATCTTTTAGTAAATGTTTTTTGAGCTTCCTTGCACCAACACCAACACTCTTTTAAGTTTACACTTGTACCTTTAATTTTATCAAGAATCTCTTTTATTAAGTTCCTAAATTTATTAGTTATCGTAGTCTAAATAATATCAATATTATTCTAATCTAAGTTCCAAGTCATTTTCATTTCTATCTTATTTCTAAAAGTGTTTATATTATTATCTTTAAAATTTTACTATTGGACTATAAAAAAAATTATAGTATTTACATTATCATCTTCAAGATTTTAAGAATGTAAACAAATTTTTAATGTTTGAGTTATATTATTTTTTTAATGAGGTTACACTGTTTTTGAGTTCTATACAAACAATAGTATGTCTTCATTCAACAAAAGTGTAACACAAATATATTTTTATTTAAAAATATTAAAATTTTTATGAAGCTTTGAAAATATATAATTAACAAACTTTTCAATTTTTAGTAATTAAGAGACCTATTTTCGACTAATTCAAGGTTAAAATTTTTATTTTGTTTTGTCTTTGATCAATTTCTGCTGAAATTACAATATTATAATTGTGTTATTATTTTATCAAAAAATATTATTTTTATAATATATATTTATAATTTTAAGATTAATTTATCTTCTCATGCTTTCCATATTATTTATAATAGTAATAGTAATATTAAACGACACTATATTAATAACAGTAATAAATTTATATTCTTTACTTTATTTCATATTAATTTATTTTATTGTGGTGTCACTCCACGCTCCTCTCGTCTCCTACTCGTATCACTTCCCCGACTCCGTCCCTCCATGGCTATCACCGTCGTCTCTTCCATCGCTTTTGCCCTCCCAATCAGATGCCATGTTCGCCAGACCAAAATCTTCGGCGCGTCGCTTTCCCGTCCCGTTCCTCGCGCCGCCGCCCGCCCCGCTCGCCTCGGTTTCAGGTAGATCCTCATCTCGTTTCTACGCTCCGCGTGCGTAGATCCCCGAGACGGGGTTCTTGATTCGATTGCTTCTCGTCCTGGGACTGATTGGTCACTACATTCTCCTATTTCTTGTTCTATTTAATCCTACTTTTCCTTTTTCTCTTGTCTCTTGTGATTCGTATGGCGTGGGCACTTGATTCGCATGGAGATGCCGCAAAGAAAGCCCCTTTTATGAGGGTTTTTACTGATACAGAGCTTGTTTAGGCCCTTTTTAGTGTTCCGATGATTGTGAACTTCTAACTTCGCAAGAACATGACCCTTTCGAGTTGTTTGTTATATTCTTTTTTGCCTTGGGAGATTTTTCTCATGGCAACTAAATTCCTTACCCATACCGTGAAAATCCCATTTTCCCCTCCCTCCCCTATTCATTTCAGCACTTCCACCGTTGACTTCCTTCCTAGAGAGAAAAAAAAAATCTTTTATATATTTTTTTTCTAGAAAGTCAATGGATTTGCATACTTCAAGCTTTAGGTTTAAGGTTAAAGGTAGCAAGGACCCTGTCTCGTGCCAACCTGTGGTGCTGGTCCTCGTGGAGATTGGTATGTCAGATAAATCGATATGGACCGATTTTGTAAAAAAAATAGCTAGAAAATAATTTAAAAAATAAGATTTTTTATCCTAATTTAATGATATTTTTATTTCAATAAGAATAATGACTAGAAAGACACTAATCACTTTTAAAATGTTGTATTAGTTAAAATTAATCCTGACTTTGGCATGAAAGTATGATAATGGATGTATTTGAGCCTAATATTAAGAAAAATACACTAATCAATCTTAATTATTCATAATTTTAAGTTATAAGTATCTAATTGTGTCAAATGATAATTAAAATGTGGAAAGAACATAAACACCTTTAATTGAAGAGAATGTCTATCAAATCTCATATTTGAATCCCTCCAATTGAATCTTTCCAAGTTTTGATGAGCTTTAATCACCTATTAGGATGCTTAATGGAGAAAGACAGTGAGAAAGAGTGAATGAGTGAGTGAGACAGACAAGGAGGAAGAGTGTGAGTGAGGGGGAGTGAGAGCGGAGGGAGGGGGTCTTAAAAGAGGGAAACCAGGGTCCAACCTTGATTTGACCCAATTGAACTGGTACAATGAAAATCAGACCATTACCGATTGATACCGGTTGGTAATGGCTGAGTTTCGACCATATCAGGCGATATAGGGGACGTACGGGGCGAGACAGCCCCTGCTTTTTGTGTACAACCTGAAACCGGCTGGTCGGCGTACTGATCATCGACCAGACCGGTATGTACCCACCCATTTCATGCCATTTCGGGTAGTACCACAGTCATTAACAGATACTGTGGAAATTCCGATAGTTTCACATTAAAAGGAGAACTGGTATGAATGGCATGAATAGTCTATTAATAAACTGTATCTAAAGACTTTGCTCCATGTTACATATGTTCTTTTAGCTAGTAGGTTTTTTGACCCTTGTAATTGACCCAATAGCACCTTCACTTGCCTTTCTCTGTGCCCTATGATACATCATACATGTCAAATGTTTCTTCTGTCATTATTCAACATTTTTTAAATGTACTTAGTTTTTTCTTTCTGTTGTTGTGTATTTTTTAATACTTCATCTGACATTTACCATTATGAGGTATTATGTCTCGACATCTATGCATTTATTTGCATGGAGAAATCATGTGTACACAAAAATTATTCATAACACTCCTAAGGCATTCTGTTAGTAATCCTAGTATAAGTAAGATTAATCGAGTAAACAAACAGCTTCTGAGTGATCCAATTTCTGTCCTAAGAGCATCTCATTCTATTCCTTCTAGAAGTCTTAAGGCCTCCAAATCACTAGAGAAGCCGATGGCTCCGGTTCGAGGCTAATTTGATTTGATGGAGAGATAAGCCAGTGGCTCTTATGAAAGTCCGCAACAAGCTTTGAATAGAAAAGGAATATTTAGAAGTGCACATATTATATAAGAAAAAGTAAAGTAAACAAACTCCTTTATCTAAACTTTAAGAAACATATGATTTAAACTCCTATATCTAAACTTTAAGATTTAAAGTAAACAAACTCCTGTCTGTTCAGTTTAACATTCTTGGATAACACTGGTGTTGTTAGGGTCGTATAATCCACAATTTCGATTTTATGATCTGGATAAAAATTAATCTTTTTCGAACTTGACCATATGGCCCATATCAAAATTAATCTTTCTAACCTGGATATTATGAGAAAATCTAGATCTTGAAGGATCGGATGATCCTTTGGTGGATTGTGCTACTCGAATCATAGATTGCCCAGTCCAAACCCTCTCGTGTTGTAGAGGTAGGAGGGGGGCAAGAGATGGAGGGGAGCATAGTGCCACTAGATTTTGCTGCTTGTTGCTTGCTGCTGTGTCCAATCTCGAGAGAGAAAGGGAAACAGGAAAGCTGCTGGATTTTGTAACATCGACATCCCTTTATATTTCATCCCATCTAATAGGTACTTTAAACAGAGCCTCGGAATACTTGCATGAGAACCATCACCTGCATTGGATCCTAGCCAGTAGGTGCTTTCAATAGGATCTTAGATTAGCTGCATGAGCAATGTTCAATTGAAGAAGAGAAGAATAGAAGCGAGGAGAAGAGGAGATGAGAATCCAGCACTTATGGCATCTATAGGCAGATTTGTTTACACCTTTTTAGAGGTGAAACCATCAAGTTTGATCAACCATTCACATTGTAATTTTATGAAAACTGCCATCAAATTTCAAAATAGCTCAATCTGCCTCAAAACTTTTACCTAATTGAGCACATCTAGCATATTCTTTCAACACCGAGAGGCATAGGGAATAGATTTGCATAGGGATCAAAGTATACAGGATGTTCATGCATCTTTTCCTTGCTCATATTCATATATATCTCGATAAATATGTATTTTTCATTCTTGTAAATATCTTTTTAAAATATCTTACAGTTGACAATCCAAATCTACTTGTATCCTAAAACAATTTTCGATCCAATCCCAATCTTGTCAACATTGGCTGGTACAGGTCAGCATATATTTTTATACATGTCAGGATATGACAATGATTAGAGGATTCCATAACATCTCTTTGTTTGAGCATTGATCCTTAGATGAACTTTAGCCTAATGGAAACATGCATTTAGTTGTAGTATTTTCTGTCGGTAATACAGGCAGATGGTTGTTTATTAGCTTGCTACACACTTTGCTAGCAGAACTTTTAGATTCACTAAAGAGAACATTTTTCTAGACCAAATGATACTCATTTTCATGTACATATCAGTAATACTTTCTATAGAAACATTACCTCTTCACCAACTATAATAGATAATAACAAGGCTTTTCACTCTCCAGACCGGGAAATGCTCCAAACTTTGATTTGAACCGCTGGGTGGCAACAGTGTTTGCTTCAGATAGTTCTAACACAAAACCTACTGCCAATGAGAAAGTTGATAGCAGCTCAAATGTTGGAGATGGCCCTCCACTGCCTACCATCTTGGCTGGTGTGGTTGTCTTCCTGCTCTTCTGTTGGGCTGTTGGTTCCATTGTCCTGTGGCTTGTTGGTCTAATTGTGAATCCACCTTCCTCCTAAGATTAGTTCTCATTTCTCTCCCTGCAACTTTATGTAACATGTATTACTTATGGATCTTGTATTATTACTTCACTAGGTGAGACACCAGAGCCAGGAGCACGGTTTTTAAATAAGAGGGCATTATTTCTAGTAAATGAGAAGGATATAATTGTGATGATAATACATATTTCCCATATGGATAATACATATTTGGGTTGGTTGAATCTAATCTTATTAAGATATTCTAAGATTTTAGGATCAAAATCTGTCATGATGTCATGAGTGCCACACCACATCCCTCTACATGGTTTGGTTCAAATCAAAACCGAATAATCAGAGTCAAATCAGGTTTGCAGTTCAATGGCTATGAATCGAATCAGAATTGGTGCCATATGATTCGATTTCGGCTCCAAAAAAATTAGAATCAGGAATTGACGATTTCAAATCGGTTAAATAAGAACAAATAAAAAAAATATAAGTTTATAAGTTAAAATCAATTATTCAAATCCAAATCTAAATCTGACCAAGCCGAAATAAGTCGTCACCCCGAACCCTCCACTGGCCCCTCGCTGGTCGCTACGTGAGTCTGTCCACGAAACAGCCTTTCGAGCCAAGGGGAATTACGCTACGATTCGACACACGAGTGGAGCCCCGCCGCGCGCAACGGCTATATTCCTCCAGTCTAATAACTACAATCAACACCACTGTCTCCGCCACAGGAGCACACGCTCCTGTAACGGTCACCTCGCGCTGCCTCCTCCCCCCTTCCCCGCCGCATTAAACACCGTGTACACACTCTCTTGCCCTCTCCTGCTCGCTGATCTCTCTCCCTCCTTTTGTCCCTCTTTGCTTGATTCGCGAAACCTGAAAGAGAAATCAGAGATGGAAGCGGCGAAGGTGCAGCACGTGAGCAAGGCGTCGTCCGACGAGCTCCTCCGCAAGTTCGCCGAGATCGACGCCGATCCCCCGGCGCGCGCCCCCGCCCACCTCCTCCGCGGGCCGATCGTCGTCCGGAAGAAGTCTCGGCGCGCCGTCTCGGCCCTCTCCGCTCGGGAACTCTCCTCCCCCAGCGACGAGGCGATCAGGGCGACGAGGAGGAGGAGGAGGAGGAGCAGCGGCGGGTTGGGGGAGTGGAAGTCCCTCCTTCCCATCTCCAACCGCAGGCCCGCGTCCCTGCTCCGTAGGATGGGGATCCGACGGTCGGAGGATGGCGGCGCCTCCGGTATCGCGCTCTTTCTCGCCGCCGCCCTCGAAAAGGTGAAGCGCCGGCCGTTTGCATCCCCATGCATTTTATATTTGCCCTAAAAATATATATATATATAAAATTTCACTATAACCCCTGCAAATTAAGGACGTATGCAATTTACCAGCTTTCTGCTGAATATTCTCTTTAATTTCTTATAAATAATCTGCTAAAAATCAATCCTTCATGGTCTCGAAGACATGGCGAAAGACTGTGGAAGGTGCATCGAAGATGTTCGTAGAAAAGCAGCGCCAGAATCACGTTCGTCTTATCAGCGACATGGTCTAGATCGGATCACAGTATAAACCCTCTAAATCCCTATTCTTTTCCTCTCAGTTCCATATCTTGATCCAAGTAAAGGCCTTGTTTCTGCAATGTTGCCCTAGAAGGAGTCATTTCATTTACTGCAGATGAAATTTGTGTTCCTAGCTTCTATTCTCGTACATCATGATGTAGGATACTGTAGAAATTATGAAACTTGTGCACTAGATTTGAGTAATGCATATATATTTGGAACATTTTTTATTGAACTGACTACTAGTTTCATAATCTCCTACCATCTCTTAACTGTTCCAAGGAACACAGAAATGGAGTTGGGATGGATCATACATCTTATAATCCTTCTTAGAAAGCTTGTAGGGAAGGAATTCAAGGTATGTCACTATTCTTGAAACCAAGGTTTGCAATACCGTATCGTACCAGTATTTCGACCTGGGCTCGGTACCGATACGGTATGGTATACCGAGCGGTACATCCAGGTGTGCCGAGTACTGTAGCAGTGCTACAGTGCTATAGTGCACTGCTACTATAGTGCACTTGGACCAGTAACAGACGGTCTGCGTACCGACAATCTGTCGGACCGGTACGTACCGCCGATCGGTACGGTTCGGTACGACAGACCCTGCTTGAAACATTCCATCATTCCCCTCTTTTTATAATCCCCTTTAGAAAGACAACCAAGTCCAAAAAATGCCTTAAGGTTGAGAGAGGTTTTAGTGACTTTCACTTCTTGAGCTCAACATAATTTGTCTATAAGCTGCACTTAAAATGTTACCATGATGTCATCAATACCCTTCTCCATTCCTTTTGATCCACAGTTGTATGCATACAGAGAGAGGTATTCTCCTCCTTCAGCAACTCCCTAACTTCATCTGCATACTGTGCCATGCAAGTCTAAATGTACATCTTTCTCCCTCCTCATTTTGTTTGCTGCTTTTCCCATTTTCCCAAATTCTTTAAATCTTACAGACAGATAACTTAAAAGATTGAAATGGATGCATTGGCATCAATATAAAATATTTGTGTTTTCTTTCAGGAAATAGAGTTACTATGAACTCAAGACAGTAAAACACCATCCAGTATGCTCTGAAATCTTCAGCAAGCATCAAACATAGTTCTTGAGAGGTTAGAACTAAGTTTCTCAAAGAACATCTTCCACAAAAAAGAGCCAATAGGATCAACACAGTTCCAGTTGGAAGCTGGAACTAGGCAGACCCATATCATCAAAACACAATCTAGGAATACAAAACTATGTAGTTACAAAAACATAGAATTGAAGAACACCAAAATGTATAATGTTACCATGTTTATGATGTCTGCATTGAATCTTTTGCGTTTGGCAATTAGGATTTATTACATAGGAAACCTGAGAGGTCGGAATTGTTACATAGGAAAACTTGAGCAGAACACTGAGAGAAGCCAATAGAAGCATATAGCAATTCACTGGTTATAATATGAGAATGGAATACTAATAGCAGAGATAAAGTTGATTCATTCATTCGATCAAATAAATCAAAAGCTAAAAAAACAGATGAAAACCAAGAGCACTGCTGTCTGTCTATAAACTACAATCTCAGCTTCTGTAGATTGGCATCTTAGTCAACCCCATCATGGATTATTATTACACTTATAGGAGTCCCTCCTGTACATATATGCATCTAAAAGAACACAAGATTCTTGCAATATATAACTAAACCAGATTATTAAATACATATCAAGCAATACACAAAGGTCATCTTAGAATCCTCTGTGATCTCTCAATTCATGAGGCTGGTGATGGGTATTAGTAGTGTTTTTTAAGCTTCTCTTGCACTCGATTCATCTTCTTTGTCGAAATATCACTTTTAGGCATACTGATATTAATGGAGTTCTAACATAAGATTTCGAGCTCTGAAAGATGGTATTATTCTATTTCTAGATTTCGAGTTCTAACACATCAACAAGTTAATTTTTTTCTAAAGATAAAAGAGCACAACTAAACAAGATGAGAATTCTCCATTCATGTATATCCACTAATAGCTCTTAATCATTGCTTCTACAAGTATCATATATATGCATATACATATATAATAATAATAATAATAATAATAATAATAATATTAATCTCTAACTTAGAGTTGGTGTAAACCAAGCCGGTCCCAACGCGTCCGTCGTCGTCACCCAGTGGCAAGGCAACAACCTGCATCTCCCTTCCTCCATCTGCACCACCTCCGTCCTGTGATGCAGCTCGTCCACCTCGCCGCGAACTGCACGAAAGCAAGCGTACCTTCCCTCGCACTCGATCGCGGCCGACGCAACCTGGTTTTCCGTCAGCAACAGCGGGCACTCGCCGTCGTCCTCCAGCTTCGCCCACCTCATCCTCCGCCCATCCGAGTCCAGCTTGAAGAAATCCATGCTCGCCTTCTCCCCAATCCCACCGCCCTCCTCCACCCGCCGCATGCAGTTCGTCACCAGCAGCAGCTCCCCTCCCACCACTCCGAAGGAGCAGTAATGGAAGTCCCCGGGCACCCGCAGCGAGGGGACGAGCTCAGCCCGCAGCCGAGGGTCCATGGCGCAGACCACCACGCTCCCATCGATCCCGACGAGGTACAGCTTGTCACGGTACATGGTTAGGGAGTCGATGCCGCAGGTCAACGTGGAGTCGACCAACGTCCACGCCTCGTCCGCCCACCTGCAGCACAGGAACCGCGGCGACAAGTAGCTGGTGACGGTCACGATGCAGTCGCCGGCGCCTTCGCCCGGCGCAGCGAAGGCGGAGCAGAGCAGTATGTGCTGTATCATGTCGTAGTTGACCTTCCCGCTGACGCCGACGTGCCTGCGGTAGATGTACTCGCCGTCCTCGTGGCGTTCGAAGTGGAAGGTGGTGAAGTCGGGGAGGCGAGTTATGGCAGGGAGGCGGACGAAGGCGTTGGTGACCGGGTTGAGGAGGGAGACGGAGAAGGATCGGTCCATCGTGAGGAGCCAACCATGGGAAGACCCGTAGGTGACTCGTCCTCGGAGTTGCAGCGAGCTGAGGCTGTAGATTTGGTGGGTGGAGAGGCTGAAGAACGAGCGAGCGCCACTGTCGGGGTTGTAAGGAAGCAGCAGCCACGGTATGCGTTGAGCGAAGCTCGATGGCGGCGCCGCAGACCGCCACGACTTGCAGACGGCACGAAGGCGGACGTAATCGGAGATGTCGATCATCTTGTCGGAGACCATCTTGATGAGCTCCGGTGGCAGCTCGGTCCAGGCCGGCCTCGTTGCTTGGGAAGAAGCCATTCCCGAAGTTGTTCCGTTCCAAGTGTTGGTAGTGATGGTTCAGTTTTAATAATGTATGCTCTCTCTCTCTTTCTCTCTCTCTCTCACTATAAACCAAGAAACATTGTTGAGCAGAAGAAGCTAATTAGACAAGAAGTGAGAAGCCATACATGTAGAAGAAGGCAGGTTGCAGAGGGAGGAGGGATGGTTTGCCGAGTACGGGGAGGATAACTTCCAGCTTCGTAATGCCACCAAATGGTGTAGTATCAGTTAGCGTGGAGGCATCTGTCTCCGCGCTCCGCTCCACGTCTCGGCCGACCATAAAAGCCGCCATCCTCCACCAGGAGAGACGCATGCAATGAACGTGAACCGAGTTAATCCACACCACGATCATGGCAGACAGACATAGATAGATAGCTCCATGAAATCAATAAATACATTACTTGAAGCAAGAAGAATCGACCTCGATCATGCATGCATCTGAAGAGCACAAGTGGGTGGGAATGGGCTTCTAATCTCGTCATCTTTATCCTGATGAGATCAACAAGTTTGTGCTCGAAACACGACAACCATAAAAAGCGGCAGGCACATCGATAAACCTTGCAGTGCATTGCAGTGCTGCCATCTTTGGCGAGCTGAGCAGCAGATACATCGATAAACTCCTCTCTGGGACTCGAATTACAAAGGAGAGACCACATAATATATAAAGAATGTCGAGTAGGTAAAGTTTGGAAAGAAGAAGACGTGTCCGACAAGGGTGGGGGGAAAGAAATTATAATCTTCCAACCTTCAGTCCAAAGAAAATTGGCGAAAAAAGGACAACAAATTATACTCATATACTGCACACAAATAGAATTAAGAACCTGACCTGAACGATCTACCCAATCTATGCCTTGAATCTACAGCACATACAACCAACACTTTTTTATGAAAATTTCCAAATGTTTGCACTTCGAAAGAAAGCCTGCTTTGGGGATACCATCTAGAAGGCCCTCCAGTTATCAGAACCTTGCTTTGGGGAATGGCCTCCGGAGGGCTTGAAAGGGCCGGTTGTATCGAAGGGATCGGCATCGTCAAAAGATTCAAAACCCCTTCCGCGGCCGAATTCCCGGCTGCTGCTAACTGAGTCAAACCTCGCAAGTGTTTCAGGGCGAGAGCTGCTGATGGGGTCAAACCTAGAGAAGGTCTCATGCGCAGGGAAAGGACCACTGTCGTGTGTGGCAAAGGAGTCGAATCTGCCAAAGCTGCTGAAACCATAGTCGTCTCGTCCATCATTAAACCTTGATGGTGAAGCAGAGTTGAACAACGGAGAACTTGGAACGGAATCATCAAAAAACAAGTTCTTCTTCCCCTTTTCAAATACACTACTAGCACTTGGAGAGTCTGCTTTCATTGAATCAAAGTGGGACATGAAGGCATTCCGAGTGCTGCTCTCATAATCAGTCTCCTGCATGGTTAATGAAACACATCAAACGACAAAACTGTTTTCTGTTTTGCAAGGGGCGACTCACATAAGACAAAGATAAAAAAATCATTGTTTACCTTCCATACTGAATCAGTATCATCGAAAGTCCATGGCTCGTCATTATACTTGTCTCCGGAAATAGTGGATTCGGCACCAACTTGATCGCTGCACAAGTAATTATTTTAAGATTCTCTTGATCAGGAATAACAACAGATGAATTTGCCAACGAAATTTGAAGAAATTTTATTTGTTGAAGCTATGAAGCTACATTTTGCCCGGACCAATACGTACTGCACGATGCAGTATGTACTGGTCCAATTGCCTGTCTGGTTGGTGGCACGGACCATAGCACGCGCCTCCCAACTTATGCAGAAAGATGCTAAAAAAGATCATATGTGGAAACAAGAGTCTGTCCTTTAGCATGTATATTTCAGTTTAGCTTAGATTATGCACTCCAAATGTATCATACACAGACAATGAAGTTAGACCATCAACAAGCAACAAAGCATAAGATCACACAATTTCATTGTTAGAGCATGGGGGACACTTCAAATTTTCTGAAATCAAAGGTGAATATATGTCAAGGGGAATGCAGATAAATATACAGCACTAGTTGACAGGATTCGATACTGCTAAATATAAAGCTACAAAATCAGAACTAGCAGTTCTCTGATAACCAATAACTGATGAACAAAATGATAACCCTAGACATTTACAACTTGTGTATTACATGTCAACCATAAAGAGAAACATTGAATAATGAACTAGAAAATACACAGAGATCGATGTGTGCGCTTAACAATGAAATTTATACAGAGAGATAAACCATGCTGAAGCAACTAAATATTGAATATCTTACCAACTGCTGAAAATCTGTAGTTCCTTCACAACAGATTCAATATCAAATAAAGAATAAAAATTGAAGAGAAAAGAGGATACAAGTACCTATGACTTTCTTTTGTGCGTGGTGAAACATCATGTATTCCAAAATGGGTTGAGTTAAATGGACTTTCTATGGTACTTCTTCCAGGACTACTAGTGGGGCTTCTTGTTGATCCTTCTTCACCGTTATCATAGGCCAACCCATTCATATTTTCATTAATACCATCAAGCTTTTCATTCCTGCCACCAACATTCTGAGAAGATGCAATGGGGGAATTATCATCTATAGAGGATTTATCATCCCAGATTGACGGGGATTTAGGTTCTCCAGTTGAAACAGTATTGACAACTCCAGAAGTTAGATCCTTTATAATTGAAAATCCTGGACAATCAAATAATTACAACATTATATTAGTCAAAGAAGTTCCTCAAATATCAAACAAAAGTGACAAAATCCATAAGCCAATAAACCATGCATCCCAGTCATATTCCAGAAAATTGCAAATCAATGGGCTTTTACTTAAAAGGCAAGCAAAGATACCTTCATCATCAAATTTATCCCAGTCTTCATCCCAATCAGCCACCATATCTAGTGGTCCAGATTCCCAGCCTTTAAATAATTAAACAAGAAATAAAATTAGCATTGATCAGAACATAATGGAGAAAAAAAGCTTTACTAGGGAAAAGAAAGTTTCTCCAAGTGCACAAGTTGGAAACAAATAATACTTAAAACAGAAAAAAACTATGAGTTGCTTTGCATGTTCAGATTCAATACTGAGAACTACTAGAACTGATTTTTCTCCTTTTATCACTTTATTGATTGTGTGCTATGGATAACAAACCAATCTGATCTACCATTGCAACAGTATCATTATGAGCAAAGTAAACCATCTGTCAGGATGCCTCTTAACATTGCTGGGATTCTCAACTATGTATGTAAGAAATTTTTTACTTATTTTTTATTTAGGAGAATATCACTAGTCAAATTAAAAACAGTCAATTTTTTTAAAACTCCAAATAAAATCGTTTTAGGTCTCCCACTACCTGCCCTCATGCTAATCCTTAATCGCTTCACCTCATTTGAACAGGCCAGCATCTATATGCCTCCTGATTCTTAGGCTCCCTGTATTCTCCTCACAGCAGTGTTTTCAATCAATTTACCTTGTCTACGTAGGGTATCTTTTAGTCTTTGGATACATAATAGCATCTTACATGTTTTCCCACATCTTCTATTCATTTGAAGTTACACAGTTAATCATGACTATTAATTTTTTATTCTATATTTTCTAGCAACACCTGACATTCATTTCAACATCCACATTTTAACAACATCATAGAAGAATTTTGAAGAGGAGAAGACTTGTGAATTCATAAATACATATGGAGACCAGGTAGACAACACTCTGAACAACAAGGACTCGCAGTATGCAGTTCAGATTTCCCAAATGTCCACATCAAGATTAAACAACACCACAAGCAACATGTGCAAAGAGAATGATAGGTACCAAAGGGGAGCTCAATTGATGTAGTTGATTTAACATGAACACCATGTTGCTTGCAACGTTCGTTAAGTCCTTTCTCTAACTCCTCAAGATCCGATTGAATTCTATCAACACGAACCTGTAAATGAATGTTTAAATTTAATAATCATGGTCAGGTGTGTGTAAAATAATTAAGCAAACACAAAGCCTGCCTGAAGCAATCCATCAGCACTGCCACCTTGTTCCATCTTAATTGTGGCATTATGCAGCTCCATCTTTCTTTCCTATAAAATAAATTGCAAAAGCTCAAGGACATAGATAAATAAAAATCCAGAATAGAATACCACAGAGATAGGCAAAAAGCTTTGCTTTCTATGTCTTTTCTAACATATCTTGAGGTGTATACCTGAATGTCACGATACTTGGCCTCTTCAATTGCCAGCTTTGAAGCTATCTCTCCAACTTGTTTGTACTTCTCTTCATACTTCTTTGCTAATAACTCAACCTGGATAAAGTACATCCAATACAAAACAATTCAAAGAAAGGGGAATGCCATCTAAAGGACATACTGAGGTCGTAGATGATGGATAAAGTGTTTTCTGAATGAAAGAAATTGACTAAAAAAATGTAATAGTGAAGAAAATGAAAACCTGCTAGATGACCAGCATATCAAATGTAAATGAAAGTTTACCATTATATTACAATAAATTACAAAATGTTGTCCAAATATCACTATCTGTATCACAATCACAATCATTTACCCTATTGTAACATCCTATCAATTTTATCTGCCTAAGCCAAGTATGCTCACCAGCATATCATAAGCCAGACATAACTTCTATGATGATATCTTGATTTACGAGTAAATTTGTTTCAAAAATGCAAGGCATGCCAAGAGGCTATGAAACAGAATACTTCGAATTGCTTGTCATATCCATATTGGTACATACCAAATAAGTTATTTCTAGGTTATTTCTCGGACGTGCATATGATATCTTGGGGAAGTAGAATATTTTAATGATACTTAGGAGATACTTCATGGATACTTTCTGCAAAAACTTGATTTTTATATTATAGAGTTCAATGTACGATTAAATACATTAGTTGTTTATACCAAACATCTGTGATTAAATACATTAGTTACTTGTTTATACTAAACATCAATGATTAATAAAAAGAGAGAATGATCTTAATTTATTATATATTCTTACTATCTTTTACATGTTTCTTTAATCCTATATGACAAAAATATATATCCTTCAAGATGAATAAATAAGAGAGCCAGTTAATTGCTTATTATCTACTCTTATTGATGATATATGACTGTCTATTCTAATGATATAAACATAAGCCAAATTTTGTCATATATAATATTTATGATAAAATATTTTTTGTTGATGTACTTGCTGTGTTTTATCATAGTTCTTAAAGTTTGATTTATAAGCATCTGCATATCATGATGTGTTAGTACCCTATATCCATACTGATCCTCCATAGCCACGCCAAAAAATAACTATGTTCAAAATATAAGTATGATGGCATACTGAATGCTTTGTTCATAAAACACCATTGTGGAGAATCTTACTGTGACTTCTTGTGACAACCAGAAAATTAATCCATGATCATGTGAACTATTCTTTGCCTCCTTCAATGGAAGAGGCATTAGTCATAGTTTGGGAGCGAGCCTCAGTGCTACGATAAGGATGCACTTTAAGAACTTGGGTGACGATGGTTTGAATCATAAAAACAACCTCCTTACTTTCAAGGAAAAAGACTGCATATATCAAACCTTCCCAAACCCTACATTGGCAAGAACCTCATGCATTGGATCATCTGTTTGCCAATGGTCACAGTTCGCATGGTCAAATATATCCTTCTAGTAGAGTCTAATTGTTTAGAGATAAATATACTAGTAATACGGACAATAGAATTGGCAACTGATTTTGAAGTCACTTTATGATTGAACAAAATTTGAGATCAGAAAAGGGTAGAAGCTTCCTTTTGCCTCTTATTTATCCTTTTCTCTGACAGTTTTGAATTAACATGTTTGGCACAATTCTAATACTAAACAACACAAACACTCTGAATCTTCATTATGGTCTATTAGAAAATTGCAATTTCAAGATAAGAAAATTGCAATTACATAGAACATGGTACAGTTGCGCACAGCATATGCTGAAAATCCTAATTCACATGCATAGGGGACAACGTTAGTTGGTTCATTCTTTTAGGACTTGGTACATGTACACTTGGTTGTAAAATTAGATAAGACATCTTGGATAGACTTACTAATTAACCACGCACCTAAAAGGGTCAATAAAAATTAATAATTTATTTTCCTAAAACAACTGTAGTATAGGGCTTCAAAGCCACAAACTTATTGTTTTTTTTCTTTATTATTCTGAGATATCCTTGAAGGGTTAAAAATGCAAGAATGTGTAAGAATTTCATTTATCTATAATTGGTTTATATCTACGGGAACAAATAACATCAATGAGATTTAATTCCAATTTCAGTGTTTTGGATTGCATATGACTCAGTAAGCAAAAAATCATGACTTGAGACAAGGAACCTGAACTGGGTTCCAAGGTGACAGGGATACCAGTAAGTATGATTTCCAGCAATCAACTATGCCATAGAAGCATTATAAAAGAACCAGACTGGACTCCACAGGCAACAGTGGGAAAACAACATTAAGCTAAAACCAACATATAGGGCTACTAAGAACATTTTTGTGACAATGCTTCTCCTAAAACAAATTTCAGAGGAAAAACGGAATATTGTGAAAAAATATAAAACACAGAAGATAAGACAAAAAGGCATGGTAAGACATTTTTTCTCCTTCAATTACAAGCACCAAAAATTAACCATGTTGGTGAAAATTGTAATACCTCACGCCTATCAGCAGATGCCCTTTCTGTGATCTCATTTAATCGATTATCACATCTACTCTTGTAAAGAACCTAAAACACAAATAACAAAACACTAACGGATGAATATTAAATGGAGAGGAAGATCTCTATCAGGTAGCTAGACAATAGAGCAAAAGGTAATGTTAGAGACCATAACATTCAATTAGCAAAAAACTACTGAAAATGTAAGAAGGTAAAAACAGTATACTGAGGTAAGGTCATCGAGTATTGAGCTATACAAAGATCATAATGTAGCTCTACTTTTTACATTTTTTGTTTAATCTCATACATTTAGGGAAACCATATAATCGTGACTTTTTCGAGCACAATTCACATGTCACTGTTCACTTCCTTCAAAGGCTTGGTTAAACTTTCCATGCTATATAAGCTCTATCATGAACCAGTTTCTTTCTGGTTCCCCATCTATAAGTAACCATAGATATTAAACTGTACTCGAAACTCATCATTGATAAAAAGATATCTTTTATTCTCATATAGTAACTTTTTACATCCATCACAATGTCATTAACCAAACGAGTTTATTCAATTAGTAAAAAAGTGAAATAACACTTACATATTACCAGTTACCAAACCTAAATATAAATTGTCACTATTGCTAAATGAACTTTTTTTCCATACCTTAGACTAGTCAATGCAAAATGTAACTTATTGTTAAAAAAGCACATGCAGACAATGATCAGAAGACTCACAAGTTCTTGCATCTTGGTGCGATAAAATTCAATCTTCTCCTTTGAATCCAGGATCTGTTTTTCCACTTCTTGAACCTGAAACAAAGAAATTTCTGAAAATCAATTCCATGTCTCAGACAGAACTTGGAAATTTATAAATATTCGAAAATACGATACAGGAACATGTTACATGAGTACATTGAATTAATAATGAAAAATACTTCCATGAACAAGAAGTTTAACAGACATTACCAAACATATCATGTGAGGTATCAAACAGAATATGACATCTGATTTCTAAACAGCATTAAGTTATTAATTGTGAGCACTGTATTTGAAGCCCATGCCTGCAAAGTACTGCACCATTTTGTATGGTGGTTTATGTATAATGATGGGTACAAATTTGTCAAATGGACCTACCAGAAATAGCCACCACTCGAATCTAATACAAACACCAGCTAACCCTAAAAGAGTGAGAGTTGTGCATGATGATGTTGCTCTGTTGCACCCAAATGTCAGAGCATCAATCATTTTGAAACAGCACTTTACTTGCAGAGGTGGGAACAAGGACCATCGTACCATGCAGACCAGTGGTCTTGGTACATGGATGGACCAGTATGAACCAGTCAGTATCAACATACTGTATGTTGGTATGCTGGTACATACAGGCTTTCGGAAAAAGGCTTTAAAATGGCCAAAAATTCACAACAAATCCTTTTAAGGTTTCTTACCCATATTTAATGATAATTTTACTGTATTTAATTAAGAATAGACTGCATATAAGGCATAAATAAATGCATAAAGTTATAACTAACCCTAAATACCCCAATTTGGGCCTAAATGTAAGTCAATAGACTAATTGGGACTAATGCAAGAAAATAATCTTAATCATGTTTAATCTTTGTAAATATGCATTAATACACCTTTCATTATTTTAAATGATAAATAAAATATATAAATAAGCTAAATACCTTCAAATTGGAGAGAAATTCCACTAATCCCAAGTTCTAATCCCTTTTTCATCCAAATCAATAGCTTGATTACCACTGATCACCAATTAGGAACTTTAATCAAAAGCAAGAGTGAGAGAAAGAGTAAGAAAGAGAGTGAAGAAAAGAAAAAGGGGATTTAAACCTCAAAAGAGAGTCCAATGGTCAAACTTGACCTGATTTGGATCGGTATTGGTCAATTTTTGATTGGTATGGCCCCTATCAACCAATACAGCATGAGTTTCGACCATATCTGTTGTTACATCACCCGTACTGGTCGATATCTAACCCTTTTCTGAGCCCGAAATGGGATGGTCCACGTCCCAATCAACTGGCAGACCAATACATACTCCTCGTTTCATAACATTTCAAGCAGTACATCAAACAGTATGTGAGAATACCCGTATTGACCCTCCCAAACTCGTGTATAGTTTTGCCTTTTATAGGGTGTGAAGTTAGCATATCAAGGTGATTGCTTTATGACATGGGCGACCAAGTTCGACTCATGGAAGTCGTTTCTACTTGCATAGGCAATACAACATACATTTATCACCCAATGCACTAAGCGACGCCTTCTTTAACAACAATATGATTCTATATTGTACATGTAAAGATTATTTGAAAGAAGAGATCACTTCTAAGGATTTTATCACATTGACGAGAAAAAAGAACCTATTTCCTCTCTACATGAATGTCTTGCAAGGGTACTTGAGAACAAGAAGAATGAAACTTTAACATCTCAAGCAAGAAAGAAAAAGTCACATCAAAAAAGATAGAGAACATGTCGTAACATATGAATCTGATAATTCCACTCAGTGAAGCAAGCAAAACATAAACAACAGATCCAAATAATAGATATGGAAAACAAAATAAGGAGAACAAGGGGTATCCACTAAAACATGATCGATAGAAATAAAAGTGATAAGGATGAGTTAATGCTATCCGAATGGAGATTCAATTTATAATCCAGGATAACTTTAAAACAATAATCAATACACTAAAAAGAGAATGGAGAAAAGAAAGCTAGCAAAATTATGAATATATATATAAATATTATAACTGATTGTAACTTTTATGTTATCGCTTATGGAAAAGCTAACTGTTCTCTCCATGGCTCGAATTCAACTTTGTTCCATGTTGAAGCTTAAGAATCGGCACGAGATCACTACATAAGTAATAATATAATGGAAGACACTACGAACAGTGAAACATCAAGCGTTGGAGTTGGCTTGGGACATGAATCTCGAGTATGCCTCACTTAAATTAAAAATCAGACTGTTGTGTGAGCAAAGGTTGTACTTACTGTCAGTGATTTAAAAAGCGCTAGGCGCCAAAAGCCGCTAAGGTCCAAAAACGCCCGAGGCGCTAGGTGCTCGCCCGAACGAAGCGAGGCGTTAAAATATAAAAATATATAATATAATTAATAAATATAATTATTTAAAATTTAAAATTAAAATATTCTATTAAATTAAGAAAATCTATTAACGGTATTGAAAATTAATAATTTCAAATAAACCTAACAATATTAACAGTAAACAGTATACTGTATACTGTTAACAGAAGAAGAAGAAGGAAGTGTAAGGGGGTGCTGAGCCTGCTGATTGAGAAAAGAGGAAGCGGCAGCGACAGCTGAGTGTAAGGAGACAGTAGCAACGGCGAGCGACGACAGCGGGAGCGGGAGCAGGAGTAGGAGCGGCGAGCAGCGAGAGGCGCGAGCGGCGACAGCGATAGCGTTTGCGAGCAGCGGCAGCAGGAGCGGTGAGCAACGGGAGGCGCGAGCGGCGACAGCGGCAGCGTTTGCGAGCAGTGACAGTGGCGAGTAGTGGGATCGGGATCGGGATCAGGTGCGGCAGCGGCAACGAGGGTTAGGGTTGGGTTGTCACTGATATCGGTTTTAGTTGGTTCGATAGAACCAACTAACCACCAGAGACCGAACCAGGACCGAACCAGACCTAAAATCCTGGTTCGATCGCCTCGGTTAACCCAAGCGCTCGCCCGAAGCACCCAACGCCTGGTCTCAGGCGAGCGCCCAAGCGGCGCCTCTTTGAAGCGTGCCTAATCAGTATCTTCAATTCCTAATGTGAAATTCCGATGCTAAACACGGAATCTGTGAAATTCCTAATCAGTATCTTCAATTAAAAAGAGGGAAATTACTTTATTGTCAGCATTTGACCATTCCTGGTACTTTGGAGTTGTATGTTGTTCATCCTTGCCAAAGTTGTTTACCATGTGATTATCTAGCCCAGGTTTTCCCAAGTTTTGCTGCGGTGAATGCATGGCACCAGGAATCTGTGATGGGACAGGAGTTTGCATTGGAGGCCTTGGTCCAGCTGCTGGCATTACAGGACGATATCCAGGGAGACCTTGGTGTGGTAATCCTAACCAGAATTATCATTATCTTAGCACAAGAATGATGGAAATGAATCTGAAAAACCAAAGAAAATATTGCCAAAATATGTCAGTACCTGGTTGCCAAGTTGGAACACCATAAGCGGCTGAAGGCATACCCGCAGCTCGTAGTAACGTTTCATCATACATAATGCCACTTGGAAGCACTGATGGCAAGGGACGCCCTTCTCGGTATCTTTCCATTAGATAGAGAGCAATACAGAACTCTCTCAAAGAAAGCATGCTGTCGTTATCTTGGTCAGATAAGTCCCACACCTGCTTTAAGACCTCTGACAAACCAAAAGAACAAACGGTATAACCAATAAGGCAAGGGTAAAAGATGTAACTTATAATGCAGTCTTTATCCTTGGCCCAACAGCCTGACATCACCTAAGTGGCCTAACCATAAGTTAGCATGCCTACATCCTGCGTGAGACTATACATGTAAATGCAACTTCTGACATTTTCCTACCAATCAAGGTCTGGTGTGGGCTAATCATCATGAGCCGGCTTGTAAAGAACTCAATAAAGGGCCCATTCTGTGATGTTCTTATTCACACAGGCACAAGACCAATTTGCAATGTTATCATTTCTAAAGGTCATGATCAATCTAGGAATGGATACAATCTTTCCTCTGTTGGCACACTCGACATTGAGTATTGACTTGCATAACTTAAGGAATTAGTAACCCTTGTAGATCTTGGGTGTTGTAAGTAACCTTTCTGTCCCTTAAGGAAATTATTAAGTTGCCTGGATAAATGCAGAAAAACGATAAAAACACAAAAAGCAAGAGACAAGCAGTAGTTGAGTACTGTTAAAATTAAATCAAATAACATGATATGATCGATTCAGTAAAATTAAAATGCAAAGCATAGCCACCATGAGTTTAGAAATGAGGACTGCAACAAGTCACTTTTACGCTTTGCTTTAGGGAAAACATATTGACAACTTCTATAAGTAACTTCATTCACTCTTTGTACTAGAAATCTTATAAAGAAACATTTAACTGCAATTTGATGGCTACCTCTAGGGAGCTTCCAACTCAAGAACAAGGTCCGTGTCTGTTCACCCGTAATTTTTCCATCTCTGTCCTTGTCTACATTGACAAATACATTAGTGTACTTCTTAATGTCAGCTTGAGTTATCTTTGGCCATTGAGTCTGCGACTGATTTGAAGCTGGATTCACAGATCCAGCTGTAACATTAGGTGCAGCCATTGCTGAGTTCATCTTTAAACTATCAAGTTGATTTTGCTTAACATTAGACTGAGTCTGTTGAAGCTGACTACCAGCAGAAGGAAGTGACCGAGTAATCTGAGTAGGATCAAGCTGTCCAGGCCTAATCGAACTTTGAGTTCCAACAATCACTGAGGCAGTACTGGATGAATTAGAGATGCTGTTTACCGAGAAGCCAAGTGTATTAGAACTTAACTTTGGCTGAGAAGTAACAGAAAAAACATCACCTCCAAAGAAAGGTTCAGAAGAATGATCATTTCCAGATGCCAGAGCCTTTGACTCATTCGGTTTAGATGATGGTAAGATCTGATCAGGAGGCTTTGCCACAAATTGTGTTTGTGGTCTAGAAGGTGCCCCACTCATGCCTAAGAGTCCTACACTAACGCCTCCCTGGTTTTGAGAAGGGATAGTGCCCCTGATAGGAGTCTGAGATGCCCCCCCAACTGATACTACATTCAAATTACCACCACGCCAATTGTTTGACAGGTTTGAGTTATTTGAGTTTGGCAAAGGTGGCCCTGCAACACTACCTCCTCCAACCAATCCTGAATTACCACCCTGCACTGGAGTTGAAGCAGCAGGATGTGTCGCTTGAGGTGGCCTCATGACATTGCTATTTGCAGTTGGGAAGAACTGTTGATTCATAAATGAATTTTGAGGTGCTTGTGTTGGCCTGAAACCAAGATTTTGAGGTGAATTTGCTGCTATCGAACCAAACTGATTAGTAGGTGGTCGCAAAGAATTAGTTGGAACTGTAGGAGTAGTTGTAGAATTTGACTGAGGTGCAGGGGAAGATGCAAGATTTATCTTTGGAGCAGGAATCTTAGCTGCAGCTGGGCCAAATAATGCTGACTTTACAATTTCTGGTGTTAGCTGACGACCACTTTGAGCCACAGTGACCAGTTTCAGGGCATTAAAGAAATCTGAACGTCCAAGGAAACCAGTTCGGTTCTGATCAGCATACATCCAAACCTACATAAACACAGGAAGATACTCCATCCATGAGTAAACTATGTCAAAATATAATTGCCAGAAGATTTTGAAGCAAACATGGTGAATTCACATTCAACTCTGTTATTATAGACCAAAAGTTCTGATACCCACATGCAAAACCAGAGAATAATAATAAGAGAGACTTGGTATACTCAAACTAAAGAAACAGAGCATATTTTGCCCAAGATTTTAGCTAAATGGACATTGTCACTTATCAAGTATAATCAACCTATGTTTGAAACTTTGAATGAGGAATGAAGCCATTCCTAGACAATAAGTGAAGTGAAACTTCTTGAGGTGAGTAGTCCAAGGTAATGCTCCATACCCCTAACCCCTAGCATAAAGTGAAACTAGCCTATCCAGATCTGTCTCAAGACCTAGAATCAGGTGCCAGTACAGTTGGATTGAGCCAATATATGAGCATCATACAAGCCCATTTTACCTCAAACAGAACCAATCCAATCCAAGGCCATTTTATATAAGGGTTTTTGCTTTTTGAGAATCCGTCTCAAAGACTCGCCAATTGCCAACACCTTACCTTTTTGCTAGAGAAAAGGAAGATAGGTCAAAGATAATGAGAAGACATGAGAGCATCAGGAGGATCATCTAAAGTAAGCATTTCATTTTTTTGTGGAAGGCTTTCATCACTTGGTGTTTCTCTTTCTTTATTTACTTTATTTTATTTTTCATTTTTTTGGTTTCTTCCCTGCCTTGGCTAGCTGGGACAACATGGCATCCAACATTTATGGTGGCCGGATGGTACCCCTGATTGCTAGAACTAGAATAGTTGGCATAAAATGCCTCAATGGCTGTTTTTCTAAAAGCAGTGTCTATTGACTGGTGAAAGATTCAGTATAGATAAAGGCATAAGAACCGGATTTAAGATTATCATTATTGACCAATAAATATTTTGAACATCTACGATCAAGTCTACTACAATGGAAAAACAATTAAATTGACAGAACACTTATGAACAAATCCTGAAGGCATCTCAAGTGTGAATTTATCATCTTAGCACGGTATCATCAGTTATTCCATGATTAGCTCTAAAAGCAACTAAAATAGTCACTAATTAATAGTTTAGGCTTCGATGACAATAAACAACTCAAAAAGGTGATCAATTATTGTCAAATAAAGTACCACAAGCAACATCCACACCACTTAGCTGATTTGTTACAAATCATAGCCAATTGAGCCAAGTCAGCATGTGCCAGATCACATGCATGCAAGCTAGAAATAGGCTGTAGGAATGTTCTCTACTTCACTGTCATGGTACATCCTACACCATAGAACACAGTGGCACAGGATTGAAACATTATTTCAAATCCTACTACATTATAATCATTCACATGTCCATATGAACAAAATTCCAATTCGAAGAGCACAACTGCTTGCCAAGCCACACCATTCAAGAATGTTATCCATTCAATAAAAAAAGTCACCTAGCAAATAAGAGACAATTCGTAGAAGTCTTTTCTTGATATTCTCTCTCTCCAATGCTTTTGATGGAGAAAGACAAAACACTAAAGAATCTTCATCTTTTAACATGTAAAACTCAATCAAATTAAAAAGTATAGAAATATGATTGCCCATATTGCCCATTCTCATAAGTTGGAACTTTGAAACATTATCATATTGTTTCTCTTTTATTTGTTCTTTTCTATATGTTGTTGTACCTTCATATTTTTATCCTTGCCAAAATGAATACTTGAACAGGTGTTTATATCAGAGTTTCTATGGCAATGGCCATACAGTGCTATCAACGGATGCACCTTTCCCCCAAGGTATGAGGGACATGTTTTCAAGAAAAAAAAAAAACAAATCTAAAGAAGATTCTATCTTTTCTCTTGTACTATAGTGGAGAAAAGAGATAAAAGACCTCACTCTATTTCTTTTTTCAACACTATGACAGAAGCTTTCCTTACCCTTTTTACCTCTGTGAACATCTACATCTGGTTCTTCTCTTCCTCTATTCTTTCTTCCCTTTGTTACATTCTTCTGATCTTATTTCAGTTAGGGTTGCTAGCAGGGTTTTGAATACCGGTCCGTATCGACGTACCGAGCTCTACTCGGTATGGCGCGTACCGATATATATCATTGGTCATCTAGGACGTACCGATGGTACACCCTAAAACCTTAAAAATACCTTCACCTACCACGCCAGGGCATATCGATCGGTATGCCTCAATAACGATCGAAATACAAAGCAGTAATGGTCAAAATCCGGGGCGATACCGGTCGGTACACCTCGGTACCGATCAAAACACTGGTACTACCCAGTAGAGGACGGTTTGCGTATCGGTATCCTCTCGGACCGGTACATACCACCTGTACCAAGCGGTACACATTGAAATTGAGAACCCTGGTTGCTAGTAATAACCTAAACCACAATTTTTTCTAGTTTCTACCATTATACTTAAGGTGACATTGGTTTATAATGATTTTCCCATTATACCTAAACCACATAGTCACATTCAGAACACTGTGCAACCCTTTCTTTTTGAAAACCTTAGAGCTTGGAGGTGCTAGCTTGACTACACAACCAAAGGCTATCACCATTTCCCTCAGGTTTTGGGTGAGACCAAATTGTAAAAACACATTGCGACTACTGCAGCAAACCAACAAAATGCATCATAAATTCATTAACTTGGAAGTAATCCTTGGATCTTAGACCTCTGGGTAATACACTTGTGGTTGTTCAAAGTGTTTATATAGAATGATTTCTAACGAAACATCCCTAGATCCCTCATAGGCAAAGCCTTGTGCACATCTTTTTTTTCAACTAAACAGAACATAGTATATGCATCACCAGTAACTATAATATTTGAATAAATAAGTTTGACTCAGATGTTCATTTACTGTTTCAACTTGTCCCCGTTTTGTCACGGACTTAGCTGGTTTTGCCTAAGTCGTGCGGCACCCTTGCGTGTCCGTCCGCAAAGGTCAGCCTCCCCGAAGCCTCTCATTGTCCCTTAGGACCAACAAAAGAGAGAACGGGTTAGAGAGAACGCCTCAATCGGGATCCACAAGCAAACATCTCCGAAAAACACTTCATAGACAATGCAAATTACAAACAGACTTTACAAGCTCTGAACAGTGGCACAACAAAGGATAAAATGGTCCATTACAGAACGAAAATCTCTCGCACGTGTCTACATGACACAACCTTTATTTACAAGCCTAAAGAGGCCACCAACCCAACTAAAATGGGACTATTAAGCCTTTGGCCGCCCCTTTACATGCTGTACAAGGCATGAATATGCCAAAAGACACAGACATACATAAGCATTACATCAAACACCTTGTTTAGAAGTTTGTCCGTGACATTCTCCCCCACTTATTCCTTCGACGTCCTCGTTGAAGCCTTTGTCGACACTGCAACTCCTCGCCTTTGCTGAGTCTTCAATCTTCTGCTCCAGCTACAATGCGCCTCTTGGCTCCTAGCTGCTCTCCACTGCTGTTTTTGAGTAGTCGAACCTTTGATCCGCCATGCTGCTTCAACTCACCAATGACTCTGACTCTGGTGTGGGGTTGGTTGAATTGTGTTGATCCTTGTTGATTCCTACGGATCCTCCCAGATGAAGGAAAAGATCATCCTTACTGCGCTAGTCTCTCGAATTTCTCATGCTGCTAGAACTGGTTGGATGCTTATTGGAGCTTTAACGAGCATCATCTCGCAAACTTCTGAAGTTTTAGGTCCTTCCTCCACAAAATCTGTTTATTGACTCTTCTTTCACTTAGTTGTCACATCCAAGTAGGTTCGCATCACTTCCGCTTTCGATTGGCATTTCGTTAGGAAATGAAGCGGACAATCTACTCTCAGTAGCACTGATGACCGTTGGTGAGGATTTGACAACTATTGTCTTCCACTATCTTCGAAGGGTCTTTGAACTTGTGCAGAGCTCCTCTGCTGGATAGATAAGAGAATTGGGATACTCGGTTTCGCCCATTCTCTTAAGAGTTGAGAAGGCAAAGGTTACTTGACTTCGCCCGCCTCCTCGAGGTTGTACTTCATGCATCGAGCTGGTTACTAGCCTTCGCCTGCTCTTTGCTCACACTTCTGAAGCACTTGAAGTGTTTGCACTCCTTGCGTTGAGTTAGTTACTGTGATTCACCTTCTCAATGCCATTGAACTTCTGGAATGCAGGAAGTTTTCACCCCGACTTGGAGTAATTCTCTCATAGGTTTGGTCGCCTCTAGGATTGTACCGTCTTCTCCATCAACCCTGCCGCCTACTCCACTGAGTAGCAAAGGTACAGCACCGCGTACTGCCTGCTTCGTTCCTTGGTTATGTACTCTTGCATGACCCGAAGTCCTTCACTTTCGGCTATCTTGATGAGAAGCACATTGACACCGGTCTTACGAAGTTCTTCGGCCTCTACCCTTCAGCCTTGTCTCGGTACTTGGAGATTGCCTCTGCATTCTCCACCTCCTTGGCCCCTTTCACGACCAAGCGCTCTCCCTCCATGAGAGCAAGGGATCAATGACCTTCACGGAAGTCCCGCCTCTGCGGTACCATGGCGCTGCCATGCCCATGGCACTACTATCCGTCGCCTCACATCTACATCCCTTTTCTTCACAATCAGTAGATATGCCTCCGTGACACTTCTCCGAGTCCACCTCCATTCTAATTGATTGCTTGATTTTGGGTAGCTAAGTCCCTCTGGACTCATCGTCGCTTCCTCGCCCCTTTCGACCCCCTGCTTCAACACCTCTGTGTTCTCCAAGCAGTCTGTTTGGTCGATGGAAAGACAGACTGCAACTCCCATGCATGGCCTCTGCCATCGCTTTGTAGGGTTTGCACCGATTCTGTTCTCCTTAGCTTCCTTGGTAGCAACGTTCGCTTACTCGACCTTGTCCTCTGACTTGTCGGGCTCCCTTAAGCGAATATGAGCTCTGGAGTAGTCCAACTCTCCAGTTGCTTCGATCATACCTCTGCACGATCAAGTCCCCCCCCCCCCCCCATGCGGCTCACTGGTACTTGCATTCGAACTTTTCCCTTGGTGGAACATAGCCCCCATATGCTGATGACCAAGGCTTTCATCCGATGCAAAATTCGATGCACGCACGGAAGACCCGCCTCTGCGGTACCATGGCCTTCACTCCTTGAATCCATAGCCCTTCTTGCCGTCGTGTTGTTCACCGAAGTGGAGCTTCCAGTAGCTCCCGATCATACCTCCATATGATCTAGTCCCTCCCGGGACTGAGTCGTGTGTATCGCATTGCCACGAACTGTTCCACCACGATCCACTGCACCATGTCGCCTCCTGGTGACATCTCCATTGCATTCTGATCCTTGTGGAATAAACTCGAATTGTGAACCCTCCATATGTGTGGCCTCTGCCAATACATCGCAGGGACTCCTCCACCTTCGATTTTGTTCGCTCCTTTGGCAATCGACCTTCATCCACCCACTCTTGGGTCACACCTAGATGAAGCAACGCTCTAGGACAGTCCGTCGCCTAGTAGCCCCC